TCATCGCAGCTCGTTGTTCGCGATATGTGTCAAACGGACTTCTAGAGGATCGCATATGGATCGGGTCCTTTATGCGCATCATCGCCCAGGAACTGTGGTAGCGGCGCTGTACCCCAGAGCTGCCTGTCATGAGTACAACCCCACATGACGGTTCTCTATGCAAATTATCAGGAAAACTTTTTTTTTGGTGTCTGGCCTCCTTTAACATGGTGGCCTAACTTTTAGAAGTTGCGTTTTCTAGGTAACCCACATACCTGCACAATNAACGCTCTCTGAGNCTGNCCACCATTCTGGATGACCTAATCATCATATCGGGAGAATCTTAATCAGAGAATTCAAAAAAAAAATAATGGCCTATCTTTCTCAATATGATTTTTCTAGGCCACCTTGGTAAGTGGCCTAGAAATCACACTAGGTGAATTTTATATCCTTTCTAGTGCATAAACTTTGGTGGACTAGAAAAATCATGTTGAGAAAGTTAGGCCATTATGGTAAGTGGCCTAGAAAACTCAAATTGCAAAAGATAGGCCGCCATGTTGAATGACCTCAAAATAACCGGAAACGCATCTGCTGTGTTTTCCATGCGACTTTAACAGGGTAACCTAACTTTCTCAAAATTAGTTTTCTAGGCCACCAAAGTTAATGGCCTAGAAATGATCTGAAGATTTTCCCAGCCAATTTACCATAGTGTCCTAGAAAACTCAACTAGCAAAAGTTAGGCCACTCTACATTCTCCATTTTTCCAGCTCCTCATCCCCATTCTAATCCTCATGATCCCTGTGGCCTATGTCGGTGTCTCCTGCTTCACCTTCTATCACAACCAAGCCATCAACAACATCGCTATCATCATCCTATCATCTCACGGATTCTTCTCCACCATCGTCATGATTTGCATCCATGCACCATATCGGGAATTTACAATGTTGGTATTTTCGGTGGCGGTGAGATTCGGTCATGGCGAGAATACGTCGTCGGTGGGACCATTAGGAAGTCATATTGTTACTTAAGGAGGATTAATAAAACGAATTAAAAAATCTCATTTTTCAGAAAAAAAGATTCTACAGAACAAGAAGTACTACAGTATTTTAGTACTACAAAGAAGTTATTCAAACAAAAATATATTTTAAAAATCGGGGACAAAAAAGGGGGAAAACACGAAACGACCAAAATCACTAGGGGTGAAATACTAGCTGTGTAGCTAACAGAGCAATAAAACGTAAAAATTAGGTGGAAGAGAATTTAAATCATGGATCTATCATTGTTTGGAGCCGTCGGTTGTGGCTGATTCTCGGTCGGCAGATGCTCTTTACGACGATACATGACGATGTAGGACTGTGGGAGGTCGTGGAGAGAGGCGTGTTGGAAGACCTGGAAAAGGGGATTTAAGATATTGAAATTTGGTTTTTCGAACACAAAATTAGGGTTTTGACTTTATAAATTGGTTTAAAATAGCATGAAATGGCTTAGTAATGCACGAAGGGAAAAAAAAATGATCTCATGAAATCGGTCCTGGATCATAACAATGTGAAATTTTCCGCTATAATGAGCCTAAAATCGAAGCTCTAGCTAAAAAAAATGAACTGAGATATGACCTGTTAGTTACGCAGTTAGAATTTTCGTATCCCTGGTACTGTTCCAGCTAGAGCTCCGATTTTAGTAGTTCCATTCGAATCAGCGGGAAATTTTATGTTTGCCTTGTTTACAAATGAAAGGGAATTATAGATTTTGAGTCGAAAAAGTTTGGTTAAAATTGCAGATCATGGCTTAAAATGACCCATTCTCAACCCTTTGAGGTGAAAAATGCTTCTTTAAAAAATTCAAAAAGGAATGGGGGATCACCAGTCCATGGGCGTTCTGCTACGCGATCTCCTGCATACAATTGTCGTCTCATGTGCCAGCGGTCGTGAGGTTTCTTCAAGAGCATCGCTGTCAGGATCACTGTATGTTATTTTTTGAAAAATACCTTTTTCGGACTTATCAGAGCCAAATTTTCAGCTAAAAGGGCCAGAAAAATCAATAAAATTCGTTTTCAGTATGCCTAGCCTGCTGCTGGAGGCGCTACTTCTTCCACGCCCAAGGCAAGTCCGCGCCTATCGGCTGGTTCCCTGACGCCTTCAAAAAGGACAGAAAGTTCAACGCGGGGCTTCAAGAAGACGCTCACGACGCTCTTCTGGAAATCCTGGCGAAACTCGACAA